CACATACAGATCCTCACTCCCTTTACCCAGCCAGATACACGCACTCAACCACCTGTTAACCCGCCTGTTATTCACATCTATGGGAGTAAGCAGCGGTTCAATCATGTCAACAGCAGCATCCACCTCTCCAGCTTGTCCGCACAGATGTACACATGCAGATCCTCGCATGCTCCCTTACCTCGCCTGTTACACGCACCCACCTACCTGGTAAGCCGCCTGCTACAACGTTCCTACTACGCACATCGATGGGCGTGAGCAGCGGCTCGATCATATCCACAGCAGCATCCACCTTCTCCAGCTTGTCCGCACAGATGTAAACGTGCAGGTCCTCGCTCGCTCCCTCCTGGTACTTGTCCTTCTGCAGGGGTGAGAAAATGGAGAGAAGAGAGCGGGACGTGAGGAAGAGAGGAACGAGAGGGAGTAAAGCACGGACGAATAACGGGAGAGAAGGTTGAGCAGTGCACACGCACAACCGCAGGTGCACCCTCGCACCCACACACCTGCTACTTCAACAAACGATAGGGTACAGACGTGCAACGAGCAGCCGACCTTTAAAGACGTCTCAAAAGCCGTACGCTTGCTCCCACGTGGTAATTTAATCAACAACGACTAGAAGAAGCGACAGGGCTATGGGGCGATGGGGTGCAGACGAGCGTTGATAGGGCCATCGGGCGATAGGGTGCAGGCGAGCGACGAGCAGGTAAGACTGAAGGTAAGGTAGCCTTTCGTATCGCAAGAAAACAAGGCAATCTTACCTTTCCTTCTTTTGTTGCGCCTTTCCCTCGAATCACGATACGCGCACCCGTTTCCTGCGACCAGGGCAAACCAAAAGAAACAAGTTAATATTAGTGGTGAACGAGAAATCAAGAACGACAAATGCATGGCGAACGCGAAGAGATAAGCAACAAGTGTATTTATCTAGAATCCTTTTCACAATCATAACAATAAGGCTGATAAGACTATAGCCCAGGTATTGCTTGACCTGCTCGTGCCTGCAACATACACCTTATAAGCAGCCTTGACAACCTGTACAATAGCTCACCTGTTCCATCTGCTTCTGCGTGTTGCCGCGCGGGCCTATAATGAGGCCGATGAAGTTGTAGCCCGAGTATTGCTTGACCTGCTCGTGACTGCAACATACACCTCATAAGACACTTCAATACGATCTACAAGAGCTCACCTGTTCCATCCGCTTCTGCGTGTTGCCGCGCGGGCCTATAATGAGCCCGATGAAGTTGTAGCCCGGGTATTGCTTGACCTGCTCGTGATTGTATGGAGGGCGGCGGTAGTGCGCACACATGTGTGTGATAGGGACGGTACGACGGACGCATGCCAGCCGGGGATAGAAGGGCGCGCGGAAGGCGGGAGGGCGGAAGAAAGGAAGGGCGAGAGAGGGAGAGGAGAAAGAAATAGAGGGAGAGCGAGAGAGGGCGAGAAAGGAAGGGGGGGGGGGGGGGAAGAAGGCAGAGGGAGGGAGAAGGAAAAGAGGAAGGGGGGAGGGAAAGAGGGGAGGCGGGCGGGAGACGCAGAGCGTGCGAGAAGGGGAGACGAGAAAAACACAGCAGAGAAAATAGCCAACAGGTCAGAAACGTCCAAACAAAAGAGCAAAAAAGGTGAGGGGAGGGGCGAAGCAGCAATATCGGAGATGCAGTGTAGGCCAAAGGAATTACCACGCCTTTTGGACAACTGTACGCGTTAAAGGATGTCATCAACCGCCACTGGCAAAACACTTGCGAAACAAAGCAGGCTAACGCATGACACAGGGAAGTACAGAAGGATTGTTTGGAAATGTGAAAATTAGGTTTTCTCTCGCTCAGACTTAGCGGACTAAAATTGCACTGCTACCAACTTTGATTCTAACGCGTGCACACGGATCGCGAACCTGAAATAATATTAAGAATGCGCTGTAGAGGCAGCAGTCCGGCTAGGCTGACAGCAAGAAAGGCTACAACACTACGAGAACCGTTCTCAACACGACAAGCACTCATCAAACGTAACCCACGAGGAACACAACAAACACAGCAGCAGGTTCGCGGAAAACTCGTAACCGGAAATTGCATTTTCGCCAACTTCGTTATTGCGACTTACCGGCACGAAGAGCTTCGCCTCCTCGAGCACAGGCTTGTACCCCGCAGGCGGCTTGAAGTGGGGGTTAAGATTGATACACTCGGCTGCACGGAAATTAGATAAAAAAGGTTGAAAAAAAACAAAAGAAACAGCATGAGAAGCCAAATACAACCAACAGATGCTGACGCAATGATGGGAAAACGAAGGGAAACAGGGAAAGATCGAGCATGTTAGACAAAATACCTATTGCTTTGCGCTTTTCAATGTCAAGCTGGTCGCGCTTCCTTTGCTGCAAGAAGAAAACCGAAAAAAGGCAAAAGCATCAGTATCAGTGAATTTAAGACAGTCGAGAAAAAAATCTTCAGCATCCTCCGCACCACAAGCGGAAAACCACGGAGCGCCGAAAAACGAGACCGGCAAGCTGGAATCATGAATGGAAAGGAATACTGAAGATAAAGACGGTTAAGCTGCTATTAAGGATCATAGTTTCCGTCGCGGTGTGATGTTTCTACCCATGTTGCCTTACACGAACGATCTATTCCAACAACAGTTTTGAATATTATGAATAAAGTCGAAATCAATGCTGACTGATGATGGATAAAGGTAGTAACGTACGTCGCGGGTGTTGAGGCGCTGTCCCATGTTGCCGTAGATCGGCAACGGGGACGGCGAGCGCGTGGAAAGGAATATGATAAAACAAAGCCAGTCTACTAACATTACCAACAGCAAAAACGTACGTCGCGGGTGTTGAGGCGCTGCCCCATATTGTCGTAGATCGGCGGCGGGGACGGCGAGCGCGTGGCCTCGTTCTCGTCAATCTCCAACGTGTTCAGCTCCAGCTGCGACGAGATCTGCTCGATGCGCGTCTGCGGGGAACAAAAGGAAAAAAAAAATCGAAAAAAGAAATATAAAGATATCAGCCGGAACGACGAACGCGTGGCCTCGTTCTCGTAGATCAAATTGCGGCTCGGCACACAAAGCAGTACAAGATCTGAAACATCACCAAGCGACCTCCTAGCTTTTAAAGCGACGGTGCACATTTGCCACCCAAAACCCAGAACCCTGGCGAACTGTTACTGCGGATGGAAAGTGTCCGCACGAAATCCTGGTTTTCGCCAGCCAGCACTTTCGCGCTGGCAAGCCTGGTTAAAAAAAAAAACTTCTGAACCCAACACTGCCAAAAGTTGCCCGTCGCTTTAAAAACATCTCAGAACCCGAAAATTACTTCCAACGCTTCTAAAACGTCTTTAATATCATACATACTAAAAACCATGTAGGCTCAAACACCGACGGCGTACCTGAATGGCCAGCGCACGACCCCTGCGCGTCGCGGGATCCAGAAGCGGATCTGGTCCCCACCGGTACTTCCGAGGGCGCCTCGGCTTATCATCCTCCGCCTCCTCGCCGGCTTTCGTAACGCTTCCCCCGACCGGCACGATCGCCAAAGATTGCCCGGGAATCGAGATTTTGTTCTTGGGAATAACGAATGACGGTGTCTTAATCGAATCCGGATTGGCTACGGACGACGCGGCGGCAGCGGCTTGCTCCTCGGACTGGCCGGAAGCGCGCGCCGCCATAAAGGCGGCGGCGACTCGCTTCGCCGCTTCTGCCGCCTCCGCGATGTTCACCACGGAAGGCATCTTAACGTGCGTCGGGGGGTCCCTTTCCCAGAGACGAAGATCGGGCCCCTAAGAGCGTGCAAAAGGCGGAGACGTGAACAAAACGGTTCTTAGCAATCTACCGAAACCACGACCTATGCTAAGCAAGACAAAGAACCGTGGACGCTCCGGATCTGACAGGGAACTAAAGACCTCAACACAGAAATTAAGGCGAGAAAGAAACCTCAATTTGGTTTTGAAGAGGTGCTGGCTAGGGTTTGGTTTGCTGTTGCTTCGGAAGGAGGAAAGTCGTTTTGCAGATGTAACACCTCCACTACACGAAGAATCCAAATGTTGATGGATATATGCGTAAAATGGCTGTTAAGCCCTTGCATTAAATGGTTTGTTCAGTCCATGAGGGAAAACAATATCTCTCGGTATGTGCGCCTTTTTTTTTCATCTAACATGCCCTTATTGATATTGTTTAGCATGTTCCCTAAAAGTAAATTAGTGCCTAAGCTTTTTACTGTAGCCTAGTTAGGATTCCTTTGCATGAGCATTTTTTCTCCTGTTTTTGTAGGAGACCACACCTTAGGAATTATCTGCCCTTATCATCCACAGTCTGTCGCACGACCTGTCAACCTCATCCACTCGAACCATTCTCTGAACATCCTCCGACATCTCGCACACGCATTTCAGCGTTTGTTACGGCGGGAATCGCTGCTCCTTATCGCCTTATCAGGCGGTAACGAACCGTTTCCGAGCGCCTTCTCGTGCTCAACGGTTCTTCGCGGCTCACTGCTGAGAGGGACGGCTTCGCATGATACCAGAGTCGCGAGCAGCAGATCCTAAGTTTCGCGGTTTGAGGTCTCCCTCCTCGGTGTCGCGTCGCGAAAGTAGATCGCAATGGCGGCCTCGCGATCGTTGTCAGTGTCGCACATTGTCGTCCAGTCGCCAGTGATCGCAGCACCAGTGCCATCTCGTCGTTTTCCTACACCGTTCAATGAGAAACCGACTGGTTCTTGCGGCGCTTGTAGGCACCTGCTTGTATCGAGCTCGATTGCTCAATCTCCGCCACTCGCGGTTGTAAAGCGTACGGCCTCTTGCAATGTCGGATCGAGCAGTTCAACCTTTGTTACAAGCACTCCGCGTACAGTCACTCGACCAGCCCTGCATGGGCGTCAATCCCAAAAACTCACTCCTTCCAGGCTCACCGCCCGTGCCGAGGCAGGCTCGACATCAGGCTCGGGCTCAGGCTCGGCAGCTTCAGGTCCGGCAGCAGCAGCCGAGCCAGCTCTAGGTTCGGGAGTTGCCGAGGTGAAGGGACGCGCGGGGATGGAAGACGACAAGCAGCTCGCGTTCTTCGAGGTGAGCGAAGCACTCTCGAGGATTTCGCACTCTCACGTTCCTCATAGGCGAAATTTCGCACAGGCAGTGCGAAGGGCCAAAGACGAGGAAGAAGGTTGACGGAAGCGGGTGGAGATCAATGGCGAGGGTTTAGAGAGGGTTCGGGTTTGATGCAAGATGGGGAACGGGCAGCGGCAGGTGAGTTGGTGCTGTTGACGATTCTCAAATTACTCTGAGGGACATCGGATAGACATCTGAGGGAAGGATTGGTGACTTTCTCGTTCCGCAACCTCTCAAACGCACCTAACTCCCCCTCCCCTCCACCCACTCTCTCCCTCTCTCCCCCCTTCTCCCCTCCCCCCCACCCGCTTTACCCTCCGAACCTACTTCTCCCCGCCGCTCCCCTCTCTTTCCCCCCACCGTTCTTCCTCCGCACCCCCCCTGCTTCCCTCCCGCTTTTCTCCGCTCTCTTCAGGCCTTAAGGAAACGCCAAGTGGAGAGTTTCAACCAGCAGGAGGAAGTTGCGAGGCAGCTTCGGATCCAGGCAGAGCGGGACGAGGTGGCGAGGATCGGGTGGAAGCGGGCGGCAAAGAAGCTTCTGGGAAGGCTCCGCGGCAGCCAGTGGGACCCCCTGCCCGGTGCTGACGTGGACTTTGCGGATTTCTGGGCGCTGCTGCAGATGGGGAGGGTGAAATTCGTCAACTATGGCGATAACGGCCGATTTGTGGAAGGTAGGAGAGAAGAGGCACAGCTTATTATGGGAAGGACTCAACCAAAGCGGATTTCTGGGCGCTGCTGCAGATGGGGAGGGTGAAGTTTGTCAACTATGGGGATAACGGCCGATTTGTGGAAGGTAGGAGAGAAGGAGGCAGCACAGCAGCACACAGCCGGAGAAGTCTGGATGGAGTCTTTTTTTGCGGATTTCTGGGCGCTGCCGCAGATGGGGAGGGTGAAATTTGGGAAGGTTTGTAAAGAATCCATGCTAATCCCTCCATGCCCCTCCTTTCCCAACCTTTTTTTTGACCATTCCCTCCGCTCTCCTCTCCCCTCCCCTCTCCTCTCCTCTCGCCCCGCCCATCCCCCCTCTCCCTCTTCCCCCAACCCCCTTTTTTTATTCGCCGCCAGTGATTCTCCCCCATCCCGCCAAGGATCTGGGGCAGGAGGTGAAACGTGGAGACGGGGCGAGGAAGAAGGGGAATCAGGCAGCGAGGCAAGCAGCGCCAAAGGCAGCAGAATGACCACTGACCACTCTTCCGCCATTCCCCCTTCCTTTCCAAACCCCACCAGTGATTCTCCCCCATCCCGCCAAGGACCTGGGGCCTGGAGGTGAAGCGGGGAGAGGGGGCGAGGAATAAGGGGAAAAAGACAGTGCGACCAGCTGGTTAAGGCATCCAGGGAAAGAGCCCTTCCCCCCCCCCCCCATCTCCTCTCCTTCTCTTTTTCTCCTTTTCCCACCTTGTATTTGCTGCCAGTGATTCTCCCCCATCCCGCCAAGGACCTGGGGCTGGAGGTGACGCGGGGAGAGGGGGCGAGGAAGAAGGGGAATCAGGCAGCGAGGCAAGCAGCGCCAAAGGCAGCAGAAGGAGCAGCAGCAGGGGAAGCGGGAGAGGTGGCGGGTGAAGAGGCAGAGGCTGTGGGGCACATGGGTCTCCCAGACCAGGTACGCGGGGAGATGGGGCAAGGAAGAAGGGGAAAGATTCAGAGTGAGACAAGAAGCGGCAGGCAGGGGCGGAGGAGGCAGAGTCGGTGGGGCACATGGGCCTTCCAGACCAGGTAACGCACCTCACAGCCTCACACGGCACGGTGTGCTTGATTTATAGTTCATATTTGGAGGGGTGGAAGGGTCGAGGGGAGGAGGCGGGTGAAGAGGCAGAGGCCCTGGGGCACATGGGCCTTCCAGAGCAGGTCATATTGCAGCTCACAGCCTCAGCAGCAGCAGAACTCTTTGGAAGACCCATGTGCCCCACAGCCTCTCCCTCACGACATTAATCTCGATCCCACAGCCTCTCCCTCCTCTGGAGAGAGCGTAGCTGCTTGATGGCTCGTTTTTGCACTGTTTCAAAGCTCTCTGTTGCTTGGCGGAAGATCCTGGCGTGGCGACTGTTGTTAGACAAGGTGGTTCATGCGCGTGCTAGTGCCACTCTTGGGGATTCTCAAGAGTGTGTCAAAAGAACTTTGAGGCGCCTCAAAAATCCTCTTGGGAATTCTCAAGAGTGTGTCAAAAGATCTTTGAGGCGCCTTGCTACATCCGAGTCACTTGGGAATTCTCAAGAGTGTGTCAAAAGATCTTGTGTCAACTTGCTACATCCGAGTCACTCTTGGAGAATCGTCAAATATTTGTCCCTGTGTGATGCCTGTTCCTTGCTGTGCTGAGCTGTGTGCTCTGCTCACCGGTCAGGTTCTTACTCCACTCCACTCCACTCCACTCCACTCCACTCCTTTCTTTGCCTCCCCATTTCCTCTCTCCCAATTTCCTTTCCCCCCCAATCCCTCCTCTCAGGTGGTGTGGTTGAAGCACAGGGTGCGCCACATGCCAGCAGACGTGCATTCAGAAGTCTGGTCCCCCCTTACCCCCCTCCTCTCTCTCTGCTCCACCCCCTCTGCTGCTTGCTCCCCCTCTTGGTGTGTGTGCAACCCCCTTTCCCTCCCTCTCAGGTCGTGTGGTTGAAGCACAGGGTGCGGCACATGCCAGCAGACGTGCATTCCGAGCTCTGGTCCCTCCTCCCTTGACTCTCTGCCCCTCTCTTCGCACCTCCCTTGACTCTCTTCTCTCCATCCCACCGTGTGTGCTGCGTGCTGTCCCCCCTCTCCCATCAGGTCGTGTGGTTGAAGCACAGGGTGCGGCACATGCCAGCAGACGTGCATTCCGAAGTCTGGTCTCACCTACGCAGCCAACTCGCCCACATCACCCTCATCAACCGCCCCTCCGCCTTCCCCCCCGCGCCCTTCACCTCCCCCTCAACCCTCTCCGCCACCACCACCGCCGCCCCCACCGCCCTCCCCTCCCCCCCCTCCTCCTCTTCCCTCTTCCCGTCCCTCCTCCCGGCCTCCTCCGCCGGTCTCCTAGGCAGCACAGTAGGGACTATCCAGCTGGCTGCTACGTGGGGGATGAGATTGGCGTTGGCGAGTGGGCTATATGTGGGGCTGGAGAGGGTGCTGTTTCCGCTGTATCAACCAACGAAGCTGGAGGAGCGCCCCAGGAGCAGTCACAGGAAGCTGACTGCTGTTCTCAACCCTGATCTTGGCACTATGGGGCAGAGCAGGTGAGAGGGGGTAAGGGGCAGGGTGGGGGAGAGAGTGTGTGCGCTGGCAGAGTGATGGAGAAAGCTCGTGGACTGGAAGGGTGGGGGAGGGAGCGTGTGGGCTGTATGTGGGGCTGGAGAGGGTGTGGGCTGGCAGGGCGGGGGAGGGAGCGTGTGGGCTGTATGTGGGGCTAGAGAGGGTGCTGTTTCCGCTGTACCAGCGGACTAAGCTGGAGGAGCGACCGCGAAGCAGCCACAGGAAGCTGACTGTCGTTCTGAACCCTGATCTGGGCACTATGGGGCAGAGCAGGTGAGGGGGGGGGAAGGGGCAGGGTGGGGGAGGGAGCGTGTGGGCTGTATGTGGGGCTGGAGAGGGTGCTGTTTCCGCTGTACCAACCGACTAAGCTGGAGGAGCGGTCGAGGAGCAGCCACAGGAAGCTGACTGCCGTGCTGAACCCCGACCTTGGCACTATGGGGCAGAGCAGGTGAGAGGGGGGAAACGTGAGGTGAGGGAGTGAGTGGGGAAGGGAGTAAGGGATCAAGAACCGAGGAAGGGTGAGGAGCAGCCACAGGAAGCTGACTGCCGTGCTGAACCCCGACCTGGGGACCATGGGGCAGAGCAGGTGAGGGGTTAGAGCACGTGAGGGAGCCAGTGTGGGAGTGAGGGAGCGTGTGAGGGAGGCAGTGAGTGGGTGTATAATTAAGGGCTGGAGAGGGTGCTGTTTCTGCTGTATCAGCCGACGAAGCTGGAGAATAGACCGAGAAGCTGCCACAGGAAGCTGAGGGAGTGAGGGAGCGAGTGAGGGAGCAAGTGAAGAGAGCGTTTGAGGACTTCGCCGGGCAGGACTACATGAAGCGAGAGCTACAAGATGTGGAGCGGATTCTCTTCCCGCCCCACCACTCTCGACTCGACTCGACCGCACCGCGCTGTGCCCCACCCCTCTCTGTCTCATCTCACCACTCCCCACCCCTTTCAACCCCCTTTCTTACCCCCTTTCCTACTTTCAAATCTTAGAGCACGGTACATTTCAGCAGAGGAGAAGACAGGAATCACGTTTGACGATTTTGCCGGGCAGGACTATGTGAAGCGAGAGCTGCAGGAGGTGGTGCGGATTCTTCGGGCAGCCAAAGAATTTGAGGACCTGGGTGTGTACTGCCCGAAGGGCGTGCTTCTGTTCGGCCCGCCTGGAACCGGAAAAACGCTGCTGGCAAAGGCCATTGCTGGAGAGGCAGGAGTGCCGTTCTTTTCGGTTTCTGGTGCTGAATTTGTGGAGGTGAGTTTGGTTTGGTTTGGTTTGGTTTGGTTTGGAGGTTTGAACTTGCAGGGATGGTTGTTTTTCCGATCACGCCGATTCCCTTCAAGTTCAAACATCCGCGTGTGATGAGTCGATTTTGAGTCGACTCAATAGTCAAGTTTAAACAGCCGTCATCTTCATTGATGCGATCCATTCCTGCGTGTCTCTCCCGGCCTTCCGGCCTCGCGGTTCGTCTTTTTCCCCTTTCACCAGATGTTCGCAGGAGTGGCAGCATCAAGGGTCAAAGGTCTGTTCTTCAGAGTGTTTGAGATTAGTTTTGAGAATTCTCAAAACTAATCTCAAACAAAATGTTCTTCAGAGTGTGCCAATTCGCCCCGGCCATCATATTCATTGACGAGATTCATGCCTGCCTGTGTCTGTCTTTCCCCCCGCCCCAACCCACCAGATGTTTGCAGGAGTGGCAGCCTCAAGTGTCAGGGATCTCTTTTTTCAGAGCACGGCAGTTCGCCCCGGCCATCATATTCATTGACGAGATTCATGCCTGCCTGTGTCTGTCTTTCCCCCCGCCCCAACCCACCAGATGTTTGCAGGAGTGGCAGCCTCAAGAGTCAGGGATCTCTTTTTTCAGAGCACGGCAGTTCGCCCCGGCCATCATATTCATTGATGAGATCGACGCCTGCGTTTCTCTGCCTCCTGCTGTCCAACCCCCCCCCCCCCCCCGCCCCCCATTGTCTTTCCCCCGACCCACCAGATGTTTGCAGGAGTGGCAGCCTCAAGAGTAAAAGACCTGTTCTTCCGCGCTCGTCAATTCGCCCCGGCCATCATCTTCATTGATGAGATTGATGCAATCGGGTCTCTCTCTGCCTCCTGGCCCCACCCACTGTCCTCCCTGCTCCTCTTTCACCCACCAGATGTTTGCAGGAGTAGCAGCCTCAAGAGTGAAAGACCTGTTCTTCCGCGCTCGTCAATTCGCCCCGGCCATCATCTTCATTGATGAGATTGATGCAATCGGGTCTCTCTCTGCCTCCTGGCCCCACCCACTGTCCTCCCTGCTCCTCTTTCACCCACCAGATGTTTGCAGGAGTAGCAGCCTCAAGAGTCAAAGACTTGTTTTTTCGAGCGCGCCAATTTGCTCCGGCCATCATATTCATTGATGAGATTGATGCCATCGGGTCCAAGCGAGGCACTGCCAGCGACCAGGGCGGGGTGAGTAGGGGGAGGGAGGGAGGGAGTGGGGGTGGGGGAGAGTGTGGGGGTGGGAGTGGGCAGTTGGCTCCGGCCATCATCTTCATTGATGAGATCGATGCCATCGTTATCCGGTGATGATTTTTTTTCTCGTTGGTTGTTCCTTTTCTTGCTTCCCCACATGCTTCAGCAGCTTGTTTTTTGTTCCTCTCTTTTCTGTCTTCCCTTCTTTTCCCTTCCACTCTCCCATTATTTGATTTTTGGGTCAGCTCAAATGCCTTTTCTGCTTTGCCATTCCACTCTCCTTTTGTTTGTAATGTTGCAAATACAGGGCAACATCGAGCGGGAGCAGGGGCTGATTCAAATTCTTACAGAGCTGGACGGGTTTCAGGAGAACCAGGCCAAGGTGCGTGACTGTAGCGAAAGGAGAGGTGATGTAAGAGGCAGGTGATGTAAGAGGCAGGGAAAGTGGCACCAAGTGTGTTTTGAGTCGACTCAAAACACACCTGTAGCGAAAGGAGAGGTGATATAAGAGGCAGGTGATATAAGAGGCAGGTGATGGCAGGGAAAGTGGCACCAAAATAAGAGAAAGGACGGAGGGTGTGGCAGTGGGGGGAGCAGGGGCTGATTCAGACCCTCACAGAGCTGGACGGATTCAGCCAGGCCTGGAGAACCAGGCCAGCTAAGGTGCGTGATTTTATAGGGAGGTGAGATATCGAGGGTGATTAAAATAAATAAATAAATATTTAAAAAGAAAGTAAACATAACAAAAAAAGAGGGTGGGGGACTTGATAGAATCAACCAGGTCAAGCTAAGGTAAGTGATGATAGAACGGAAAGCAGGGAAGGTGCGATGAGATGCAAAGGGGGAAATGGAATGGATGCTCATGTCTTGAATTCCTCTCATTCCCTCTGCTCATTGGCTTGGCGCCTTCAATCGTTTTGAGACGTCTCAAAACAGATCTTCATACACGTAATGGATGCTCATGTCTTGAATTCCTCTCATTCCCTCTGCTCATTGGCTTGAATTCCTCTCATTCCCTCTGGTCATTGTCTTGAATTCCTCTCATTCCCTCTGCTCATGTCTTGAATTCCTCTCATTCCCTCTGCTCATTGGCTTGGCGCCTTCAATCGTTTTGAGACGTCTCAAAACAGATCTTCATACACGTAATGGATGCTCATGTCTTGAATTCCTCTCATTCCCTCTGCTCATTGGCTTGGCGCCACCAATCGTTTTGAGACGTCTCAAAACAGATCTTCATTGACATGCTGAATCCTGCGCTGCTGCGTACGCGGCTATATGAATAATGAACCCACCCTCTCTGCTGCTTGCCCCCATGCAGACCCATGCACCCTCCTGCGCTGGTCATCGGTGCCACCAACCGACTTGACATGCTCGACCCTGCGCTGCTGCGCAAGGGGCGCCTTATGCAATGCACTCGACCTCGCTGTGACAACCCCCCTCCCCAACTACCCCCCCCTCTCCTCCCCTCCCCTTCAGGTGCTGGTCATCGGTGCCACCAACCGACTTGACATGCTCGACCCTGCTCTGCTGCGCAAGGGGCGGTTTGACACGGTGGCGCAAGGGGGCCTCTAGAGGCCCAATCCCTCTGTGACACCCCCCCACCCCACCTACCCTCTGCTACTCCCCTCCAGGTGCTGGTCATTGGTGCCACTAACCGACTGGACATGCTCGACCCTGCGCTACTGCGCAAGGGGCGCCTTATGCAATGCACTCGACCACCCCTCCGCAAGGGGCGGTTTGACAAGGTGGTGCTCCTTTATCCCATCCTCTCCCCCCATCCTGCCCCGCCCGCCTCTTTTCCTCCTGCTATTTCCCTCTAGGTGCTGCTGGTCATCGGCGCCACGAACCGTCAAGGGGCAGTTCGACAAGGTGGTGCGCATGGGGCTGATTAATCCATCCTCCCCCCCCATCTCCCCCCTGTCCTCCGCCGCCCTTCCCCCTGTTTTGCCCCCTCCCTGTCCTCTACCTTCCCCTCCAGGTGCTCGACCCAGCGCTGCTGCCCCTCTGTTGCCCTGACGTTCGTCTCCCATATCCCCCCCTGTTCCCCCCCATTACTCTCCTCCCCTCCAGGTGCTGGTCATCGGCGCCACCAACCGTCTTGGCATGCTGGACCCTGCTCTGCTGCGGTGTATGCACGCATCCCCTCTGTGTCACCCCCCACCCAGCCACCTACCCTTTTCTACCCACTCTCCTCCCCTCCAGGTGCTGGTCATCGGCGCCACCAACCGTCTAGACATGCTCGACCCTGCGTTGCTGCGCAAGGGGCGGTTTGACAAGGTGGTGCGCGTGGGTCTGCCAACCGAGGAGGGGCGGTTCTCCGTGCTCAAGGTACGAATGGGTGTGTTTGGTTCTCTCGTGCTTACATGCATGCTGGAATGGAAGGATTGCTTGCCCTTGGCTTGTCCCTCACGTTGCCTTCAACTGCAAGGGGCAGTTCGACAAGGTGGTGCGCGTGGGACTGCCCACAGAAGAAGGACGATTCTCAGTGCTCAAGGTATGAGTGAGTGTGTTTACTTCTCATGCATGTGGATTGATAGGGCTGCTTTGCCCTATTTTACGCCTTGCCTTAAACAAGGGGGCGGTTCGACAAGGTGGTGCGCGCGGGTCTGCCCACAGAAGAAGGACGATTCTCAGTGCTCAAGGTATGAGTGAGTGTGTTTACTTCTCATGCATGTGGATTGATAGGGCTGCTTTGCCCTATTTTACGCCTTGCCTTAAACAAGGGGGCGGTTCGACAAGGTGGTGCGCGCGGGTCTGCCCACAGAAGAAGGACGATTCTCAGTGCTCAAGGTATGAGCGAGTGTGTTTACTTCTCATGCATGTGGATTGATAGGGCTGCTTTGCCCTATTTTACGCCTTCCTCAAACAAGGGGCGGTTCGACAAGGTGGTGCGCGCGGGTCTGGTCTGCCCACAGAGGAGGGGCGATTCTCAGTGCTCAAAGTGAGTTCAAGTGGATTGGTGAGGTGGATTCAGGAGGGTGCTGGCTCATCTGCTGCGCAAGGGGCGGTTTGACAAGGTGGTGCGCGCGGGTCTGGTCTGCCCACAGAGGAGGGGCGATTCTCAGTGCTCAAAGTGAGAACGAGTTGTGCCCTGAAGACTGAAGGTGAGATCAAGAAGATAATGTTGCATGTTGATCGCTCATGTGGGTTCAGGAGAAAGCTGTTCCGTGGCTGGTTTCTGCAAGGTGGTGTGCGTGGGGCTGCCACGGAGGAGGGACAGTTCTCCCCCGTCTCTCCCCACTTCTTCCTCTCTCCACACCCTCCCACCGCCTCCCCTCCCCTTGTTCTCCTTATTACTGCTTCCCTTATATCCCCACCGTTGCCTTCCCCGTTAAGGTGCGCGCGCGCAACAAGGCTTTCAAGTCTGAAGCTCCCTTTTCCCCTGCTTCTCCCCTATATCCCCGTTATTGTCTTCCCTTTTAAGGTCCACGCGCGCAACAAGGCGTTCAAGCCGGAAGAGGAGAAGCTGAAACTCTCTCCCCCCCTCCCCCCTCCTCCTCCCCCTTGCCCCTCTCTGATATTCTGTCAACTTTATCCCCGTTATTGTCTTCCTTGTTAAGGTGCATGCGCGCAACAAGGCGTTCAAGTCGGAAGAGGAGAAGCTGAAGCTCCTGAGGGAGATAGCCGCTGCTACACCCGACTACAGTGGAGCCGAGCTCATGAATATCCTGTAAGTTATTTTTTTTTGGATTGATTCCTATTTATAGCCGCAGCCACATCTGCTGCTGGACCGGGCTTAAGAATGCTCTTCCTGAGGAAGATAGCCGCTGCTACACCCGACTACAGTGGAGCGGAGCTTATGAACATCCTGTAAGTTATTTTTGGAATCTTTTCCATTTATAGACGCAGCCACATCTGCTGCTGCACTTGGCTAGAGAATGCTCCTAAGGGAGTAGCCGCTGCTACACTCGACTACAGTGGAGCCGAGCTTATGAATATCCTGTGAGTAATATTTTAAATAGTCATATTAATGATAACAACGAGCGAGGTATACATTTTACCCTGTACCCTACGCATGCATCCAGCAAGGTAGACCAGCCACCGCTTCTCACTTAGCATTACAACCTGCCTTAACCCAATATGCTCCCCCTTTTCACCCCTTATCACCCCTTGCCAACCCTTTCTGCGTCTTCTCAACCTCTCCCCACCGCATCACACCACTGTCAGCAATGAAGCGGCTATTCTAGCCATCCGCAAGGATAAGGATGAGATTGAAAGGGAGGAGCTGCTTCAAGCCATTGACCGGGTAAGTCTGCCTGTGGGGGGGCGTTGACCAGGTCAAAGCACGGTCTTGCAGGTTGTTTTTGAGAATTCTAAAAAACGACGGGGTAAGTCAGCCTGTGGGGGGGCGTTGACCAGGTCAAAGCTCGGTCTTCTAGGTGTATACCAGGTTTAGTCGTATTAGTGGTGTTACAGTAGGGAGATGCGCATGCGAGCAGCTTACTGCAGAGGGATAACTCCTTACCCTCCCATCCCCCTTCCCAATCGTGCGTGCAGCAAGCGGGCGAGTTCAAGACGGGAGAGGAGGGCGTGTTGGATAGCAGGGAGGTGCGCATGCGAGCGGCTTACTATGATGCTTGACCCGTACCTTACCCCCACGGTCCTACCCCTCCTACACCCTTTCTCGCTTCCAGCAAGCGGGCGAGTTCAAGACGGGAGAGGAGGACGTGTTGGACAGCAGGGAGGTGCGCATGAGAGCGGCTTACCGTGAGGCCTCCATTGCTGTGTTGGAGTGCGCCCTGCCAGACAGATCAGGCCCGATCAAGAGGGTAAGTGCTGGTTTGAGTGTGTTCTGGTTGTCTGTTCTGGGCCTAGGGTATGCGTGTGTCAGTACATGCCTGTGCTTGGCTTACCGTGAAGCCTCCATCGCTGTTCTTGAGTGCGCCCTGCCGGACAGATCAGGCCCGATCAAGAGGGTGAGGGCATCTGCTTTCCTGGTTCTTTTAGTGTGGTCTGTTTGTCTGTGCTGTGCCTTATTGTGTATGTATGTATGTCTTCTGCTGTTAAGCAATGCCGCTTACTGTGAGGCCTCCATTGCTATTTTGGAGTGCGCCCTGCCGGACAGAAGGTGAGTGCTAATTTGAACGTGTTTCCCCACCCTCAATCGTCTATCACTGATTCACTGCTTCTTATGCTCCCCCCTGCCCACCCGACCTCTCTTGACAATGTCAATCCTCTCCCCAACATGGAGCATGAGAGGGTGCGCCAGACATTGTACCCCCCTACCCCTTTTGAGTCGACTCAAAAGCATGAGAGGGTGCGCCAGACATTGTACCCCCCTACCCCTTCCCTTTTCCCAACATACACCTCCCCTCTCAATAGACCTCTCTGGACAACGTCGACCCTCTCCCCAACATGGAGCACGAGAGGGTGCGCCACCGCTGCTTCGCAGTCAAGCAGGACATGCTCGACGCTATCGTGCGCGCCTTCGCACGTGAGTAGCAGGAGTTCAGTGCGGTTTGGGGGGTTTCTGCTGTAGTTTTGGGCCTTTTATGAGCGGTCCGGGGGAGTTTAGTGTGGTTTTGTTATGGTAAGAGCATCTCTGTTCGCGCCACCGCTGCTTTGCCGTCTAGCAAGCAGGGCATGCTTTTGAGGCGCCTCAAAAGCCGTCTAGCAAGCAGGACATGCTGGACACTACCGTGCACACCTGTGCACGTGAGTATGGAGAGTATGGTGTTTGGAGTGGCGAATGTGAGCTAGCACTGGCAGGCAGGGGTGACATACAAAGAGGCGGTTCAACTGGCTGACCATGTCATCCTGATGAACTGTTTCCCTGTCCCCCCACCCCCGCAACCCCAATTTCCCTCTTCCGTTTCCACTCCCCTCTCCCCTCCCCCTCTTCCTTGTTCCCTGAGCAGCTGCTATTATGGAAAGAATGGTGTTCGGAGCTGTGAACGTGAGCTGGCAGGCGGGGGTGGCCTACAGAGAGGTGGTGCAGCTGGCGGACTCTGTCATCCTCAGTATCCACTTGCTGACTCCCTTGCATCTCTCCCCTGATCCTCTTCACACCCTCCCAAGTAGCTGCTCTAATGGAGAGAATGGTGTTTGGCGCTGCCAATGTGAGCTGGCAGGCGGGGGTGGCCTACAGAGAGGTGGTGCAGCTGGCGGACTCTGTCATCCTGAGGGTGGTGGTGGCCTGCAGAGAGGCGGTTCAACTGGCAGACTATGTCATCCCATTCCCTACAGAGGAGCGGCTGTTTCCCCCGTTCCCTGCCTGCGGTTTCACTGCTTCCCTCCCTCTCTCCCCTTCCCCGTGCAGCCGCCATTATGGAGCGCATGGTGTTTGGAGCGGCCAATGTGAGCTGGCAAGCAGGGGTGGCGTACAGAGAGGCGGTTCAACTGGCAGACTATGTCATCCTGAGGAGCGGCATGAGCGCCCTGGGGAAGGTGGTTTACGAGACACAGAAGGACCTCATGCCGCATGTGAGTGTACTCATGTTATAATACATATACATATATATATTTCAATATGTATATATATAGTAATAGCATATATGCAGTGGTTTATGTCATCCTGAGAAGCGGCATGAGTGCCCTGGGGAAGGTGGTTTACGAGACGCAGAAGGACCTGATGCCTCATGTGAGTGCCTTGCGATTTCCCTGCATGATTGTGCCCGTTTTCTAAGGTCGTATTGATTGTGCCCCCATTTTCTCCAAAGTAGGAATAACAACACTCGTTTGTTTTTCCGTTCGTCGAATCCTCTCCACTCCTCTCCACTCCTCTCATCGTCCTCTCATACAGCTCATTCCCAAGGTCATCGCTCTAAGGGAAGAGTACATGCGCTACTCCAAGGCGAAATGCGAGGCTGTTCTTAAGGAGTACAGATCGGCTGTAGACACCATCGCAGGTAGGAATAACCCCCCACCCCCCCTAAAAACCCCTACACTTCACTCCACCCATCCCTCCCCCCTCCCACCTCCACCCCCTCGTCCTCCCCACCCATCCACCAACCAACCCCTCTTCCCCTCCTTCACATCACCTTCTCTGCTGCTCCACCTGTCTTACCCTCCTTTTTGAGGCGCCTAAAAAATACTCCACCCCTCTTCCCCTCCTTAACATCTTTTTCTCCGCTGCTCCACCCGTCTTACCCTCCTCTGGACCAGCTCTCTTCCAAACCCCACTCACACATAGCCCCCCTAACCACCTCGTAACTAGGCATTCCTCCCTCAACCGCACACCACCCCTCTGATCTGAACCCACTCAGAGCGTCTGTTGGAGGAGGGTGACGTGACAGGAGAAGAGACGCCATTCACAGCATTCTCCTTTTTTTTCCCCACAGCCCCACCCTCTAACCCATAACATTACTCTTCACACGCACACCTCCCCACTCAACCGCACACCACCCCTCTGATCTGAACCCACTCAGAGCGTCTGTTGGAGGAGGGCGACGTGACAGGAGAAGAGACGCCATCCACCGCATCTTCTCTGCTGCTCTGCCCATTATACCCTCTCTTGTTTTTGAGTCGACTAAAAACTCGACTCAAAAACTTGTGCCACCATTCCTCCATCCCTACCCACACATAACCCCCCTAACAACCCCGTACAACACTTAATCCCCCTCAACCGGATACCACCCCCCTCAACCGCACACCGCCCCTCTTAACCCACTCAGAGCGTCTGTTGGAGGAGGGCGAGGTGACAGGAGACGCCATTCACAGGATCTATGATGCTGCTCCCAAGTTTCCCCAGGTATGTGCTTGTGATATGTGTGTTTCTTAGTTGCAGGTGTGCATGTTAGGTCCGTTGGAAGTTGATGTAGGAGGGTGTTTTTGAGGAAGTGTTTTGAGACCTAGGGTCTTCAAATAGTTTATGGAGGAAGTCTCAAAACACTTCTTTAAACACGTTGGAAGTTGATGTAGCAGGGTGTTTTTGAGGAAGTGTTTTGAGACCTAGGGTCTTCAAATAGTTTATGGAGAGAGCCTCAAAACACTTCTTTAAACACGTTGGAAGTTGGTGTAGCAGGGTGTTTTTGAGAATTCTCGATAACACCCTGCACATTTTTCCTTCCGGCTTCCTTCCTTCCCTGTCACCTCTCCATCCCCATCCCATCTCCATTCCTGAATCTCACTCCATACCGCATGCCCCCCCAAACCAACTCCCCCCTCCTCCCCATACCCCACCAGCCCCCAGTGCGACCTATCGATGAGTATGCAGTGCTGGTCCACAATGGCAGGTGGGGCATTCACGAAACCTCCCTCCCTCCATTCCCCTCTCTCCCCACTCTATCTCCCCTCCCCCCCCCTAATAACAGCCCCCAGTGCGACCTATCGATGAGTATGCAGTGTTGGTCCACCAGGGCAGGTGGGGCATTCACGGAACCTCCCTCCCTCCATTCCCCTCTCTCCCCACTCTATCTCCCCTCCCCCCCCTAATAGCAGCCCCCAGTGCGACCTATCGATGAGTATGCAGTGTTGGTCCACCAGGGCAGGTGGGGCATTCACGGAACCTCCCTCCCTCCATTCCCCTCTCTCCCCACTCTATCTCCCCTCCCCCCCCTAATAACAGCCCCCAGTGCGACCTATCGATGAGTATGCAGTGTTGGCCCACCAGGGCAGGTGGGGCATTCACGGAACCTCCCTCCCTCCATTCCCCTCTCTCCCCACTCTATCTCCCCTCCCCCCCCTAATAGCAGCCCCCAGTGCGACCTATCGATGAGTATGCAGTGTTGGTCCACCAGGGCAGGTGGGGCATTCACGGAACCTCCCTCCCTCCATTCCCCTCTCTCCCCACTCTATCTCCCCTCCCCCCCCTAATAACAGCCCCCAGTGCGACCTATCGATGAGTATGCAGTGTTGGCCCACCAGGGCAGGTGGGGCATTCACGGAACCTCCCTCCCTCCATTCCCCTCTCTCCCCACTCTATCTCCCCTCCCCCCCCTAATAACAGCCCCCAGTGCGACCTATCGATGAGTATGCAGTGTTGGCCCACCAGGGCAGGTGGGGCATTCACGGAACCTCCCTCCCTCCATTCCCCTCTCTCCCCACTCTATCTCCCCTCCCCCCCCTAATAACAGCCCCCAGTGCGACCTATCGATGAGTATGCAGTGTTGGTCCACCAGGGCAGGTGGGGCATTCACGGAACCTCCCTCCCTCCATTCCCCTCTCTCCCCACTCTATCTCCCCCCCCCCCCTAATAACAGCCCCCAGTGCGACCTATCGATGAGTATGCAGTGTTGGTCCACCAGGGCAGGTGGGGCATTCACGGCGCCTCCCTGCCCGGGCGAGCCACCTTCCACCCGGGCCACTCCGGCTACGCCACCTTTGGGGCGCCGCGGCCGCAGCAGGTGCAGGCGGTGAGCGATGAGACGTGGCGGGTGGTGGAGGGGATGTGGAGGGAGCGAATCGCAGAGCTGCGGCAGATGGATGAGGAGGATGAGGAGGAGCGCGAGCAGCAGCTGCTGCTGCCCGATCTGGTGCTGTAGGAGGGGTCTGGTTAGGGGAGTGGGGCTAGGGGTTGACTCTGGTTGACGCTACGCCACCTTTGGGGCGCCCAGGCCGCAGCAGGTGCAGGCTGTGAGTGACGAGACGTGGAGGGTGGTGGAGGGGATGTGGAGGGAGAAAATTGCGGAGCTGCGGCAGATGGATGAGGAGGATGAGGAGGAGCGGGAGCAGCAGCTGCTGCTGCCAGACCTTGTGCTGTAGGAGGGGTGTGTGGTAGTGCCTTAAGGAGAGGTGGAAGGGGAGGTGGTGGAGGGCATGTGAAGGGAGAGAATTGCGGAGTTGAGGCAGATGGATGAGGAGGACGAGGAGGAGCGCAAGCAGCAGCAGCTGCTGCTTCCCGACCTTGTGCTCTAGGAGGGGTGTGCAGGGGTTTGCAAGGGGGTTTGCAAGGGTTTAGGGCATGACTAGCACTGGTGGGCAGGGACCAAAATATGGTTCTTGTTACCCTGATCTAGACCGGCTATGGTTTATGTTACCCTTCTTCCAATCAATGGTTTTTTTATTACCCTTACAAATTCAGCGTAGGCGTTTCGTTTCCCTGTGTAGAAAGGGTGGGTTCTGAGTTACCCTGAAACCGAGTCTCCCTTAGCGAGGATTCGCCCAGATTCACTGCACCCCTCACGTAATGCCCTGCCGCCCTGCGCTGTGTTCCCAACGTGCGGTGGACAATTTTTCCCCCGCTGTGCGGAGACCCACCATCGGGCCGATTGGCAACATATCTGCCACCCATGCAGATATGTTTGCCAGCGTTACTTGGCAGCGCGCCGAAGTTGCTGAAGGTGAGCAGTCATAAAGGAACTGCCAACACCACACTGCATCTTCACGTGCTGCACGGATCTGATCCATGCATGCATGGGCGCTTCGTGGGTGGGTGGTTGTGAAAGGAAGGGGGTCCTTTCTTGCTCGCCCCGTTCTTTCTTCACCAGGATTTTCATTGTTCCACCCCCACACCTACCTCTCCTGCTTACCAATCATGCCAGCCGAGCATGATTCCGCGGATGCGGAGATAACTGCTGCAACGGGAGCTAGACTACGGGCTAGGCACGTGTGCTCGTGTGATCTCTGCGTTCATTCGTTCCTTAGTCGTTTACTCGTGCTTGCACTACTTGCTCGTTCACGGGGAATTTGGCAAGAGTTCCACTAGCAAAAGTTCACAACAATGATTGGAACAACATTGGCAACACAGACTACATCAGAGCTAGCTAGGCTGCTGGTCGACCTCCAGCGCAGCACGGTCGACCGCACTCCAGCGCAGCAGAGCTCGCACCGCTCCAGCGTTGCAGAGTAGCGGTGCGCCAACGTTGCAAGTCCACGGTGTGCCAACGCTGCAGCAAGTCGGCTGCACAGCGTTGCACCCACGGGACAACGGTGCACCTGCTTCGCAAGTGCGTGCAGCTGGTTGGTGCGCACTTCCTTGTCACGAGCACAGCGCAGACGCCTGGCAGACTCCACGCCAGCGATTGCGCCCACCAGCCACGTCGACCTCGGGATACCACCCCCGAGGTCGGCCTCGCAGACTCCACCCCTGACGACACTCGCGTACGTCGCCCGGGTATCCCGGTCAACCGGGCAACCCCGCCTGGTCGACCAGCTCAGTCCGTAGCCGGCCACACGTGCCCGGCGTCCCCAGTCCGGCGTCCAGGCGCCCAGGACGCCGTCCGAACCCCAAGGTCGGCGTCCAGACACCCAGGACGCCGTGCAGACCTCCAGAGCGGCGTCCAGCCTCCCAGGACGCCGATCAGACGCCCAGGTCGGCGTCCGGGCTCCCCAGGACTCCCAGGTCGGCGTCTGGCCGTGCAGACGCCCAGGGCGGCGTCCCAGGCTCCTAGGACGCCGTGCAGACGCCTAGGTCGGCGTCTGGCCTTCCAGGACGCCGTGCAGGCGCCCACGACGCCGACCAGGCGCCCGGGTAGTCGTGCCGACGCCCAGGTCGGCGTCCAGCTTCCCAGGACCCGTCCAAGCGTCCAGGACGCCAACTAGGCGTCCAGGACGGCGTCCTCCTGCTCGGCGCCCCCCAGCCAGGCGCCCTCCAACTCGGCGCCCTTACAGTGGCCCCCGTGCCCACTGCTGCAGGTTGGCTGCAACCCCCGCACATCCGACCACGAGGTCGGCTCCGCCCAAGCGAGGACGGGGCCAAACAACGCTCCCGTTAACAGCGGATCCACTAGAACCTCGCCAAAACGGCCTCTCCGTGCTTGGCGTTCTTCCGCCACTATCGCAATATTACAGTACTCCCGTCGAGCAAGTGCCTCGTGCTCCCTCTCCCGTGCAACACGGTTGTGTCGTGTACCCGTTTGAGCCTCCTAACTCACCCTCTGCATTCGAGCCACACCCCTCGATTGTCCTTGTTCCAGGCGGTGGTGAGGGATCTTCCAGAGGTGTCACAGAGACTCCATCAAGTGCGCAGAGTGCGCCCGGGAAACGTCAACGCGTGGGTGTAAAATACATCCAGCAGCGTCTATGGGGCGCGCCGCCACCACGCACGTCTGCATCTCCTCCCAAAACGGCGGAGCGCGAGGAGGATGATGTTCGAAGACGGCGGAAGAGGCAACGTTCGATGTCATCAAGCACCGATTCGACACCGAATGGTCTGGGAAGTTTTCGTGGTTGCGTCTCGTGCGCAAAAAGGACGGGCGACCTGGGCTTAAGTGCGACATCTGTATCAAGTATGGAGACCCTGCTGCGCACACCAGCTACGGCGTGAGGGGTGAGGGCGCACGAGATCTGCAGATCGGTAGCATCAGGACGCACGTTTCGACCCGAGCTCACAAGCAAGCCCTGAAAGAACAAGAACGCGCGGAGGCGGACAAATAGAGGCAGGCCATGTTGACGCTGTGGCAGATGACAGACGCCGCCACGCGCCATATCATCCGCATTCTCCACATCGCTTTATTTATTTGTAAGGCTGACGCTCCTATTGCCATGTTTGTACCGCTGTGTTGGTTCCTGGCGAAGGAGGGTCTTCCGGACCTATCTCGGGAAGGCGGATATGGAGCCTACTACACAGAGCGGGTGTGTTATTCAGTATGGCGATGTTTTGGCCGCATACCACTGGATGAAGTACTTATGTAAATCGTGTATGTTTCCCTATGCAGTTATGGTTTCAAAGAGAACTTGCGGGCTATCTCCACATATCTGCAAGAATCACAGCGGTCGCACCTCCTTGACTCCCCTTGGATCGGCCTCGCGGTCGACGAGAGCACGGACAGAATTCACAGGAAGCATTTGATTGTCTACACCACTTTCTTCAAAGCTAGGGAGGTGGTAACCGAGTTCATCACGCTGCTCACAGTTGACCGATGTGACGCTGCATCGCTGACGTCTGTTCTCGTGCAGTATCTGACGCAAACTGGGCTTGACTTGCAGAAAATCAGTGCATTCTCAACGGACGGGGCCAGTGTCATGGCAGGGCAGAACTCTGGCGTCGCGACCCGTCTCAGATCGCGGATTCCACATCTTGTTTCGACGCACTGCATCGCCCATCGGTAGGTCACCAATTTGCATGGTAAATAAAGACCGCGGTGTGCTTAATCGTTGTACTCATCTGACTAACCTGGTTGGTTGCCTTGTGGCAGGGAGGCGCTTGCCGCCAAGGACGCAGCTGAAGCGGTCCCGGAGCTGAGCATGGTGGATGAGGTGGTCCGCGCATTCTCAAACATTCTCGGGCGAAGTGGTGTCAAGTACCAGAAGTTCCAGAATCTGCAGCAGGTGTTTTGCAAGACTAACCTCGAGGAGCAAGGAATCTTCGACGCGCGCTGGCTGTCACGTGGGGAGGCGCTGGAGCGCCTGCTGCTATTGTCTTGCTGAAGGAGTACCGCCAGGATTTGTACGAGGTGGTCACCTCGTTCAAATTCCACTGGCTCCTTCGGTTTTTGGTGGATGTGCTGTCGGAGCTCAACACGCTTAACTTGCGGTTCCAGTAGAGAAAGGTATGATATGATAGCTCTCTTTGAAATTTGCTGACATGTACGAGTTCTCCCGTACTGACATAGCGTGTTGAGCATTTACAGATCGACATCACGCTGGTGGGCCGTCTCGTCGAGCAGACGTAGATGCGACTGAATGCTCGCTATAACAGCACTCAACAAGGCCACCAGTTCGGGAGCGGGGAGAGGATGCGCCTTTCAGAGTTCATCAAGAAACACCAATCGAAGGAGAAGCGGGAGATGAAGGCTGAAGGGGTAGATGGCGAGGGAAATCCGGTCACCTTCAAATTCGACCTGCATGAACGTGACTCTGAGGGAAAGGAAACTCCAGGCCTTGTGGCTGCCAGCTATGAACTCTCGCTGAAGTTTGTGCGTGCAGTGGACGATGAGCTGGAGTGGCGGTACCGTGAATTCAAGAACCTGGAAGGCGCGAAGCTGTTTGATACAGCTTCTTACCTTCCAGACGATGACAAGCGCCTCGCTGCCTTCAAATGACGGCTGCAGCAACTCCACAAGCTCTACCACAATGAACTCCCTGGTACGAAATCCGTAGCATGCTTGAAAACTGTTCGCGCTTGTTGAATTTCTTGGGTGATTGATGGTGTGGAGTCTACTGTTGTCGTACTGTCTTGTTTGCTCGGCTGTTTGGTTTAAAACCGCCCTCTCCTCCCACCCTCTTCGAGTTTCTTATTGTACCTTTTTCCCCGATCAACAGGGTTCAACTACAGCAAAGCGCGCGCAGAGCTGTGGATGTTCACGAGTACCATGTTTTCGCAGCATCACAATGAAGACTTCCACCAAGCTCTTGCCAACATGCTGCGCGATGACTCATGGCAGCAGTCCTTCCCCAACATCATGCTGCTCTGGCAAGCAGTAGCGGTCCTGCCTCTCAGCACTGTCGAGTGTGAGAGAGGCTTCAGTAAGCAGAATTTGATCAAAACCTGGGACCGCGGCAGCCTCTCTGACAGCAGCCTCGACTATCTTATGCGCTGCTCCTTGCTCCAGTACGAAATTGACTGGTTCGATGTGGTGGCGATTTTCAGGGGGGAGAAGCTCAGGCGCCCCACCACAGACTTCAATGGGATCAGGGAGAGCGACACCCAGTTTGTGGGCGACAGTAGTGGTTTGCAGAGTAGCTTGCCAAGCACTGAGTGAAGTGAATAACTGCATGTGAGAAGCATTGCCATTGCTACAATTATAATTCATTAGTCACCGCCGCTTGCTGTATTAGACTACTGTCAGTGTAACGAAAATAGTACCCTGTAAATCAGTCTT